AAAGCGACATCAGTTGGGGTGGCGAAGTCGGCACCGGTTGCAGTGGCGAAGAAGACGCCGATTGTGGCGTCTAAGAAGGCGTCGTCGTCGTCGAGTGACTCGGATTCGAGTTCGGAGGAAGAGCTTCCAGTGAAGAAGGCGACATCAGCTGGGGCGACGAAGACGCCACCGGTTGCAGTGTCGAAGAAGACGCCGGTTGCGGTGTCGAAGAAGGCGGAGTCATCGAGTGACTCGGACTCGAGTTCGGAAGAAGAGGTCCCAGTGAAGAAGGCGACACCAGCTGGGTCGGCGAAGACGACACCGGTTATAGTGGCGACGAAAACGCCCGTTGTGGTGTCGAAGAAGGCGGAGTCATCGAGTGACTCGGATTCGTGTTCGGAGGAGGAGGTTCCAGTGAAGAAGGCGAAACCAGCTGGGGCGGCAAAGACGGCGCCGGTTGTAGTGCCAAAGAAGTCGCCTGTTGTGGTGTCGAAGAAGGCGGCGTTGTCGAGTGACTCGGACTCGAGTTCGGAGGAGGAAGTTGCAGTGAAGAAGGCGGTATCAGTTGGGGCGACGAAGACGGCACTCGTTGCAGTGGCGAAGAAGAATCCGGTTGTTTTGTCGAAAAGGGCGGAGTCGTCGAGTGACTCGGACTCGAGTTCGGAGGAGGTGGTTCCAGTGACGAAGGCGACACCAGCTTGGGCGGCGAAGACGACACCTGTTGCGGTGGCGAAGAAGACGCCGTTTGTGGTATCGAAGAAGACGGAGTCGTCGAGTGACTCTGACTCGCGTTCGGAGGATGATGTTGCAGTGAAGAAGGCGACAACAGCTGGGTCGGCGAAGACGACACCGGTTGTAGTCTCGAAGAAGACGCCGGTTGTGGCGTCTAAGAAGGCGTCGTCGTCGTCAAGTGACTCGAACTCGTGTTCGGAGGAAGCTGCTCGATTGAATAAGCCCAGGGTTTCGTCTGGATGCGATATTTCGTTGCCGTCTAGCGGCGAAAGTTATGGTACTAGTTCCGGTGTCGCTTTGAAAAGGCCCCTTTCGTCTGACGATCCCGAGGTAATTTCTGCTGGTGAGAGATCTTTTAAGAAGGCTAGAACTTCAGCGCCTACCATTCCGTTTGGTGAATCACGTAAGAAGCGGAGGTTGTCTGATGGTGCCGACATCGCAGGAGGTACGCTTTTTGAATTCCTGTTGGTTTTGTTAACTTCTTGGTTGTAGTTTTTCTGTAAATTCGCCTTTGCCAGTTGACTGATCGCTTGCTCTCTTATTATTATTATTATTGTTGTTGTTGTTATTGTTATTATTATTATCACTACTACTACTACTACTATTTTTATTACTTTTATTTTTTACCATTATTCAGTTCTCGTATTTTTGAAATTGAGGCATCTCCATGAAGACGAATAGAGATTGTTTGGGGATTGGAGTTGTTTGTTGACAAGTACTTGAGTCCACGTATTAAGATTGAAATATGTCTCGGGTTTTCGTACGCATTTGCGGTTTGCGGTCGAGTAAATCGCGTAGTGTCAAGCTTAATCTGCATTTGCTTAAAACATCTTTATCCATTCAAATCAAATTTCATTGAAAAAGTACTTTCCTGAGCCAAAATCTTTCTCGTCTGTTACATTCGCTCATTACATATGCTCAATTGTGAAATCTTTTCGTTGGCCGACATTCCAGCGTTAGGAATGCAAATTTGTTTTTTCCCAAATGTTGACTAGAAGAGCCTTCAAAGAAGCCGAAGTTGTTGACGACGGGTTCCACTCAGGGCCATCCAAGTCGCAAATCGTTGCCGCCGAGCTTCGCGACAACGCCCAAAGTCAATCAGAACGGTGGAAAACCTCCACCAAACTCCGCCAGAAGGGCGTCTCCACAGCGCCGACCCTTCCGACGTGTTGAAGACGACGCCTACGAGTTGCCGCCGCAGCTCGCGGACAACTCTTTTTCAGCGAAGGTGAGGAAACCGTTGGAGTGAGGTGATCATACCATTGAAACACGGCCACACCCACCCCCCACATGCCCCTAAACACCAAATAGTAATTCCTGTCTAACGTGGAGCTTGTTTTTCACCAAATTCCAGGCTCATTGAGTCGAATTCTTTAACGCCATTATTTTTGCAACAGCTGGGGGCGCGCGGTAGCTGGGGCGAGCGCGCCGACAAGGCGCTGAAGTTCACGCGCGGCAAGGACTTCCGCCACGAGAAGACCAAGAAGAAGCGGGGCTCGTACAGTGGAGGCGCAATATCTACCGCCGTCTGCTCCTTCAAGTTCGACGAATAACGTGCCTACCCCCTCTCTCCTCGCCCCCTTACACACCCACAGACGCTGTGTACATGCATTCATGCTTCGATTTGTAATATATGTTTATCTCATGACGTGAATTTACCTGGCGAGCGGGGACCTAAGTAGGGAGATTACTGTTAGCCCGTCCCTCTTAGATAGCCACACCATCATGGTTAGCTACTAGGCAACCAATGTGTGGGTCGAATGGCGCGCGTTACACCTAGGATGTTAGGTTGGCCCACACTACCAGTTCCTAGAAGCATTTAAACGAGGTAGTCCCCGATGAGGGAGCCAGCAGTACTGACGCAAGTGAAACACAATTTCATCCGAATCGGTTTTACTAATGGTGTTTAAATACAGTGCAAAACGAATATGACCAAATGCTTAATGATAACGTGCCAGAGCGATAAGGAAGGGCGTATGACGGAACCAGAGGAGAATAAGATAACCATTACGAACGATAAGGGTCGTCTGTCGAAGGAGGAGATTGAGCGCATGGTGAACGATGCCGAGAAGTACAAGCAGGAGGACGATAAGCAGCGTGATCGTGTGTCGGCAAAGAATGCTCTGGAGAGCTACGCGTTCACGATGAAGTCGACGGTGGAGGACGAGAAGGTGAAGGAGAAGATAGCGGAGGGCGATCGCAAGAAGATCTCGGAGAAGTGTGAGGAGACGATAAAGTGGCTGGACGCGAATCAGCAAGCCGACAAGGAGGAGTACGAGCATCGGCAGAAGGAGCTTGAGAGCGTGTGCAATCCGATAATCACGGAGATGTACCAGGAGGCCGGTGGGGCAGGTGGTATGCCGGGAGGCATGCCAGGTGGAATGCCGGGTGGCGGTAGTGGTATGGGCGGTGACGCGGGCTCTGGCAACCGCGGTCCGACCATTGAGGAGGTGGACTAGGTGTAGAGTTGGTGTATGGTGCATTGGGCTGTAAATACAGTGTGTTAGCGAGAGTGCGAGTGTTGTTGTTGTTGTTATTGGTGTTGTTGATGGTGGGGGGAGCTGAGGTTTGGGGGTTGGTTAAGTGGGGTGAGGTGAGTCGGGCGGGCAAGTGGGCGTGGGTTGTGGAGTGGAAGTGAGTGAGGGTGGCGTGTGGTGATGGTATGTGGTGGTG